CATTATTTGTTGTCGATTCAAATGACAGCTCTCCGTATGCCTGTAAAGGGCTGTGTCAGTTCACATAGACAGCTTTGAATATGGTTTCAGAGGCCCAAACTGAGCGGTTTACACTTTCCTATACAGTTCAGACCAACAGATAGTCACTTTACGGATTGGTGCCAATCTTTGCTCTGGCCAACCTGAACCTTCTTTCGAATAGACTGTGGTTGTCACAAGGTGAATTCTGCTCCTAATAGGCTGGAATGACCAATGAAGTAGACCGGTATGATGGGAATTCCTGTGGTTCCCATAAACTACTTAGTACCTCCGTTACTCCGACCAGCAATTTCCTACCTCCATCCTTGAAAACGCTGGGTAGTAAACTGTCAGATCCTGCTGCCTAGCATCGTGTCAGGTTGGAAAAAACAGCCGTCTCAACACTGAGGACCGACGTACGTTACATTCAGGTTCGAAATGGATGCTGGGCAACTGAAGTACACGTGTGATCCAGTTGAACATTGATTGAATGTTGTTCTCAACGTCCTAGCCACCTGTTCTTAGAGATTATCAGCCTCCCATTCTTTTCAGTAATGGTTTCACTATCCACCGTCTTTTCTTGCCTGTATCCCTGACAAGCCTAAATGGTTGCCGAGTGTTATCTAACTCTAGTGCCTTTTCCATCCCTATCTCTCTTTCGCCAACTACCACTCCTCGCCATCATTACGAAACTCTTAGTCATTTCCAATCCAGAAATTAATGTCTCAAATAACGAATAATCTTCATTTGTGTTATTGAAAAACCAAAGGAGGTTACTGTGATGGGAATTATATTCTTTAACGATTCATTTTTACAGTGGATGTACATCCGTCAGTATTTCAGTAAAATGATGGAATGTTTACCTAGACAAGTTTCCGGTCAAAGGTTAAACTCAACTGATAGATAATATAGAGGAAATGAAATTACATAACACAGGTCTATCAATGAACACCTAGTAGACTCTGAAAATCTCATCCAAAATTCGACCAAACTGTTCCATAAGGGTGAGGGTTGTACAGTCAACGCTTTAGCAATTCACAGCTGCTTCAAACCCCAATTGTGTACAACTACCCTCTGTACTATGGTCTTAAACAGACACTCAGCACCTCTGTCAATGTTTCATTTCATAGACGATTTCTTTTGTTATGTGATAACATTTCATCTGCTCAATGCCTCTGTGTGTCAACCATTATATGCTTCAGGTAAATCGATACTTGAGATGTTGAACTTGTCATTATTTCATGGTGGTTATGAGGGTCGCTCAGTTCCCCTAAAACAGAACAGTATCCTGCAGTTTTAAACTATGCACAAAATATGATGGTTCATATGCATATATACTATGACCATTCTATGCCTTCCTAGAAGGATACTCACTACTGATTTTGTCTCGTCAACCAACCTGATATATTCATACATGCCTTCTCTCAAAACTTGAACGTAAAATGATTGGCTACGAAACACTTCAAAGATGCATAGCTTCTTACAAAAATCTGAGCGATCTAATTACACGCTATAACACCTCCCGTCTAAAATGAGATATATGATACGATAGCGCCTCTCTCTCTCTGATATACTGGACCGTGAAAAATTATCCTCATCAGTTTTTCTTCGGAATGTATATAGTCATAGTTTGAAGTAACTGAGCGGCTATGATGAGACTAACTTTCCGGCTCTTTGAAGAAGAGCATTTGATAGAACTTTTCTTTCATGCTTCAACAGAGGACACTGAAATATACCTATTGCACACTGAAAAGAGTCCTGATCGACAGGTGCTACAACGACATGGTGGTGGTATATCACAATGACTAACCGAGCTATCCCAGCGGAACGGCTAGTTCCTCGATGTCTTACTCTGCGAGAAGGGTCTGTTGGATAGTGGATACACAAAAATTACTATCGTATTGTTAATTGCTACGCTATGATGGGGTTCTGAGAGGAGCTCATACCGCTGGCTGGACGGGAGGTGATAGGAGTAAGCTGCTTCCAGTGGATGGGTTAAAAAAAGATCGTGACTGAAGTTAGAACACTCTCATCACCCCTCAAGCATCCCGGTAGAAATGCCTTGCATTAGTGATTGGATTCAAGACTAAAAATCCGAACTCTCAAAAATGCTGTGTGACTGATTTCAATCAGATGTATTTTGAGCTCTGTGATCACCAAATAACCCTTCTTTTCAAGGTAACTCGAGAAAAAGTAGCCTTCCACGGTGTGCGCAATTGGGGAGCTCCAAATGCACTCACAACTCAAGTCTCCTCAAATCACTGTCAACCTTCCACAGCCTTGCTATCTAATCTTCCTTTACATGTGTCAGTCAATAATCCTACATCATCTTTAGTTTATGCAGCTCTTGACAACCATCTTCTTTCACGAAGAAGCATCCTTGGTCTCCTAAAACTGAGTTGCAAACTCACATAACCCTGACCATTTCATGCCTTTCTAAAAGGACATTTACTAGTAATTTAATCTCAGCAACAAATTTGATAATTGCACGTGAATTTTCTCTAAACTTCGAGACAAAGTAATTGACATGATAACACCAACCATCTTAAAAAGAGATAAATGATGTCTCTTTGATTTACTGTTAACTTTTGTCTAGATTGTGAGAAATTTTCCTCAAATGATTTCTTATTTAGGAAAAAGTGTTCTGTTGTAGTTTGAAGCAAGTGACTTGCATCCATAAGATTAGGCAATGATGAAACTTTTCCCCCTAACTAACAACAAGAGACCTGAGCGACAGCTGCTACCATGACGTGATGGTCGCGGTTGCATATCACAATGACAAAACGACCTATGAGGGTGGAACATGCCTGCTTCTCGAGGTGCTATGACACCAACAAGCTCTGTTGGATAGTGTTAAGATAGAAATAACTTAGTATTTATGTACAAATTGCTATGCTGAAGAGGGGGGGGGGCTTCTAGGGGTGAAGTCGTTCTACTGGCCGGACGACAGTAGAAAGGTGTTTCCCTCTTCTTCTCTACATGTCAAGGATATGCTGCTCTGAACTTCATTTAATCGGTTCCGGATCGAAGTAGACTGTTTGCCTTTCTGGGATATAACAATTAGTTGGTGGCAGGAAGGATCGATAAAACCCACATAGACAGAGTCAATATTTGAATTATCACAGCTTTTGTTCAATTCAGTCCAAGACAGCGTTAGTTAAGCTCTTTTACAATAGGATTTGGAGAATATGCATAGACGATATACTGACGTATGAGACAAGAACACTGACTGAATAATTCTTGAAAAATAACTGTCCATCAAAATTTATTAACCAGCACAAAATAACTCGGGCAGTGAAATCTGCTCTTTACTTACTCCAGAGAAAAGATGTCTTTATTAGTCTTCTGCACAAAGGTGATTTTCACAGTGAAATCCTTAAGCAGACTCAACGCTGCTATTACAAGGACTTAGTACGGAGCCAAGGTCCGATTATTAGAAACTGCTAAGCCTGCATATTCTCCCAAACCCTAACACTACACAATCAACATCATCCACCGGAGTTACAAACATTCTTCGCCACTTGTTGTATTACACCGTCGTTGATTGGACCGAATTGATGAGTCTCTGTTGGCATATGGGCTCGTGTGCGGATGCCTTGATATTGCCTATGTTTTAACTATGCAAAGTAATGATGGGCAGTGGAATCGAGGATGCACATTTTGCCCTATTTGGAACTCGTCACCTGAATGTACCTGCCGCCTCCCAGTGAGTGATGTTGTTCCCACCGGGAATTCGGTTCAATCAACGACAGTGTCACAAAAGCGACAACACTAAAACCATACCCGTCGCACAAGAAGTGGCTATCGTGGCTGGATAGTGTAGTCGTTAACGTCCTGGCGTTTGCAGAGATCGCTCCCGAGTTCCAATCCCGGTGGGAACAACTTCACTCGACACTGGGAGGCAGGTACATGCAGGTGACGAGTTCCGAATGGGACGAAATGCGCATCCTGGATCCCACTGCCAGCCACTACCCATCATTACTATACATTCTTCGCCATTCTTACAAGTAATCCATCATTTCGAATAATCTGCTTGTTCCCAGTTTAAAAGTTGTCACTCTCACTGAATTTACTTCATCATTTCATGGTAGATGGTGATGCAGATGTCTGAGAAATAACGGGATGAGTGAATTACGATCATATTAACTGAAATACATGAATGATACTGTCGTGGAATACTTAATATCAATGCTAAAGAACATTGGAAAATATACCGACATATGGAGAGTGAAAATCTAGCCTGAAACGATCATCCCTTTAACTCAGAAAGTCAAATGTTTCAAGTTGCTATTCATTGCTGACTGACATCATTTGGAGAACCAATAGAAACTTGTCAGCACTAGACAGCTTTTTCGTCTTGGATTGACACTCCTCAGTAGTGACCGAGCACAGATCGAACCCCTGAACTTTAGGCTTAGGAATCCTGTACTCGGATGAAACGGCGACTACCCAGTTCTTCTTGGTCTATAATGTTTTTTCAAATGATGGCAGTCAGTTCATGATGTGTATACCAATTGTAAATCAATAAATCATCAAAAATCTTTTATTCAAGTCAATTATCCCAGCAGCACAAGATTTCCTACAAGTAGAACCGGTGCAGTGAAGAATGCCATACACATGTTTCAATTGGCAACAATAAAATGTTAACACATTATTGCACTGTGGAATAACTACTGTGTATTCATACTACCAATCAACAAGATATAATAAGAAAATGAAGTCAAATAAAAATAACAGGCATATTGTTCTAATGAAATAACAATGTACACGGAAATTATTACTTTTATTTCCAATACTACTCATTACTGATAATAAGTAGACAAAAAATACAACTTTTAAAAAACATCGAGCAAAGTTATAACGTGCAAACATATCACATTGACTACTTCGTATATACGTTTTGTGCAGATAGCAGGAATTGTGAATAAAGATAATAATATATAAATGTATATTAAAAATGAGAGAATTTTCATTCGATGCCACTACTGTGATTTCGACTTTACAATTCTATTGATTTGGAACAAGTTCAGAATGACATGGAAATGCTACGGAGAGAAGATTTGAGGGAAGGAAGATAATGATGAAAATGCAGACAGAGAGATGATTATTGATTATTACTGATGATATAAATAGGCAAACACCTTAACCTAACAAAATACATCACTGAAGTGTATCACTATTATTATTATTATTATTATTAGTCCCTTGGGTTCCTAGTGGAACATAGGGCTTCAGTAGCACGCCTCCATTTCATCCTGTTCTCTGAGATCTTTTGAACCTGGTTCCACGACAGCCCACAACCTCTCATTTCCTCCTCGCACGACCTCCTCCATGTCACCCTCAGCTGGGACGTCCAACTCGTCGCTTCCCATGGGGATTCCACTCGAGTGACTGGCCTGACGCGTGATGTCCTCAGTCGGCCTTCTCAGTGCATGGCCAATCCATTTCCACTTCTTCCTGCATATTTGTTGCGTGATAGGTTCTTGGTTGGTTCGTTCCCAGAGTTCCTTGTTGCTTATTTTTTCTGGCCATCTGATCTTCAGTAGCGAGCGTAAGCAGTTGTTGATGAATGTCTGTAGTTTATTGGAAATGCCTTTCGTGACGCGCCAAGTCTCTGAGCCATACAAGAGCACTGACTTGACCTTGGTGTTGAAAATCCGTATCTTGTTCCGAATGCTGAGTGCAGAAGATCTCCACACTGGTTTCAGGCTAATGAACGCCTGTCTTGCTTTTCCGATTCTGACTTTGACGTCCTCGTCCGTCCCGCCTGTAGTTGAAACAGTGCTTCCTAGATAAGTGAAGGAGGTTACTTCCTTCAAGTTTCTCCCGTTGATGGTGATTGGAGTTTGTTGTTGTTGTTGTTGATGGTGGTGGTGGTGGTGCGGTATCTTCATCACTTCTGTCTTCTCTATATTCACCTGAAGTCCCGTCTTAGCTGCCTCTTCTATCAACTTGTTAGTTTTTGCCTGCAGATCTTCAAGTTTGTGTGACATTAGGCACAAGTCATCGGCGAAATCCAAGTCTTCTAGGTTCTTTTCCGCAGTCCAGCCAGCGTATCCCCCTCTTCTCGCTGCCTACTGTTTGCTGCATGATCCAGTCCACCACAACACAGTCAGGAATATCATGGGGGATAGTAGGCAACCTTGTTTCACTCCTGTCTTCACTTCAAAGGCATCACTGAGCTTCCCATTGTGGATTACTTGGCATGTGGCATCTTCATATAGTTGTTGAATGAGGTGGATAAAGGTTTGCGGTACTCCGTAGTAGTGAAGCAGTTTCCAAATTACTTCTCGGTCGACGCTGTCAAAGGCCTTCTCAAAGTCGATGAAGTTGAGGTAGAGAGCTGATTGCCATTCTATGCTCTATGTATCACTAGCCACAACTAAACAAGATTTCACGTGAACATGATCACGCTTCATCTCACAACTTGATATCAGTAAGCAAAAAGTAGCCTATTATTACTGAATACGAACTCGGTTTATGGCTTGCTATGTGATCTAGTGAACCTTAGGCTTAACCTTACAGAAATTCAAATCTGGGATAGACCCCAACTGTCTAATACTGAACCGGTGAGTGTTATCTTTTTTCATGGACTACTTAGTTGAAGGAAATAATGTTCAAGAAAAGTTAAACAACAACGTCACAGTAGTGTCAATAACCTGGAATTATTGATCTCTATCCTCTACAGTGTAACGTACAGCTAAACAGTCGACATCTTTCGACACGACTATGACAAACAGTCAGGCAATTTTCAGAATAAACTGACAGTGAGATGATAAAGATTTGTGATACAATCGAAATCAAGATGGACTAAACATTCATGTGCATATTTATTTTATAGAGTAGATGATACACCACACACCTATGATATGAGGGACTAAATGATATTCCACAACCTGACTGCCAGCAGTTCGATAAGCAATGGCGTCTAATGTTCGAACTGATGATTCAAAGTCAACTGTTTGAACCGATGAACCATATCTCGAAAAACTATATATATTGTAATACAAGTCGTTCAGCACTGCTGTGAAGCTAGGCATCAAGGGTGTAACACAGAGGAAAACTGTCAAACATTGACACTATGATCTTCTTTCATTAGCATAACTAACTCAGTAACAGTGAGCATAGTTCAATCAATAAGCTCTAATATTATAAAATGTAGTTGGAAGCAGACACTCCCCCCCCCCTCTGATTGCTTTAGTCAGTGATCCATACGACAGGTTCGATCGACTTTCGCCAATTTACGCCATCTATGGCACCGCTGTGATATCTCATTGCCTATTAAGGATCAAGTGTACCGTGCTGTAAGTCTCTGCGTTCTACTGCAATACTATTAAAGGTAGAGAATATAAGAAGACTTCTGGTATTTGATAACTGGTTCCTTCGTAGCATAAACTGTATCAAGACGACACTACGTCAGTAAAGTAAAAGCCAGATGTACAGTTTTAAGGCGGAAAGAGAGGAAAGTGAGTTGATGAGATTGTAAACCTTCATCGACTCAGATAGCTCGGAGATGTGTTGCGCATACTCAGTCACCGTCTGCCTTATCGCTGAATACCAGCTGGAGTACGTCGTAAATAGAAGAGATATGGGGTGGCCAGACTAAAACATGACATCAATGCATGAAGTCCTTGACTGTCGGTTTGTGAGCCATGTAAGGTGATACAGGAAAAGAGGAACCAGTGGTTGCTGATCCTATGGCTGACATGTATGCGCATATTATCCTCATCTTGACCGTAATACTTTGTCACATCATTTTCTTATTCCTCCTTCGTCTCTCCCACTGATTTTCACCTCTCTTGTCTCTTGCCCTCTTTCTTCATCTTATATTACTAAGTTACTTGATGGGTTGATATATCAGGCGTGGCCACTTCGACCATCACGCAATAATGCCTCTTCATCACCGCATATTCATGATCATATTACCGGAAAACAAGTTTCCTCACTGATAAAATATACATTCATGAACCTTTAACCTTGTCGAAACGTTTCAATTGAATAAGAACAATAGTATTTCCATGGTTCAAAACGACCAAGTTTCGAAAATAACTGCAATAATACAGACAACCTTAAGTATCCGAAGCTCTAGAATATTGAACTATATTATTATTATTATTATTATTATTATTATTATTAGTCCCTTGGGTTCCTAGTGGAACATAGGGCTTCAGTAGCACGCCTCCATTTCATCCTGTTCTCTGAGATCTTTTGAACCTGGTTCCACGACAGCCCACAACCTCTCATTTCCTCCTCGCACGACCTCCTCCATGTCACCCTCAGCTGGGACGTCCAACTCGTCGCTTCCCATGGGGATTCCACTCGAGTGACTGGCCTGACGCGTGATGTCCTCAGTCGGCCTTCTCAGTGCATGGCCAATCCATTTCCACTTCTTCCTGCATATTTGTTGCGTGATAGGTTCTTGGTTGGTTCGTTCCCAGAGTTCCTTGTTGCTTATTTTTTCTGGCCATCTGATCTTCAGTAGCGAGCGTAAGCAGTTGTTCATTAGTGTCTGTAGTTTATTGGAAATGCCTTTCGTGACGCGCCAAGTCTCTGAGCCATACAAGAGCACTGACTTGACCTTGGTGTTGAAAATCCGTATCTTGTTCACACTTTATGTTGAGTGCAGAAGATCTCCACACTGGTTTCAGGCTAATGAACGCCTGTCTTGCTTTTCCGATTCTGACTTTGACGTCCTCGTCCGTCCCGCCTGTAGTTGAAACAGTGCTTCCTAGATAAGTGAAGGAGGTTACTTCCTTCAAGTTTCTCCCGTTGATGGTGATTGGAGTTTGTTGTTGTTGTTGTTGATGGTGGTGGTGGTGGTGCGGTATCTTCATCACTTCTGTCTTCTCTATATTCACCTGAAGTCCCGTCTTAGCTGCCTCTTCTATCAACTTGTTAGTTTTTGCCTGCAGATCTTCAAGTTTGTGTGACATTAGGCACAAGTCATCGGCGAAATCCAAGTCTTCTAGGTTCTTTTCCGCAGTCCAGCCAGCGTATCCCCCTCTTCTCGCTGCCTACTGTTTGCTGCATGATTCAGTCCACCACAACACAGTCAGGAATATCATGGGGGATAGTAGGCAACCTTGTTTCACTCCTGTCTTCACGTCAAAGGCATCACTGAGCTTCCCATTGTGGATTACTTGGCATGTGGCATCTTCATATAGTTGTTGAATGAGGCGGATAAAGGTTTGCGGTACTCCGTAGTATTGAAGCAGTTTCCAAATTACTTCTCGGTCGACGATTGAACTATATGATAAATATTTAATCAATGGGTCGTGGACTCGAGTCTTGCCCCACCTAAAGAGGTTTCGGAAATCAGGTAGGTAGTATCGCTAGACTTTACATAATAGGTGTGTGCCATTCACTGCCTACTGGACGACTGTGCACAAGATTAGTAGGTACAAACATACCATACAAAATCTATTAAGTAAACAAACAAAATCATCTTACCTCCAAAAATAAATACATAATCCCCAGGTAACTGGCTATTAAACAGGCTATAGCAAAATCGAATATGGAAGATTTAAGTCTGTGAGAATGGAAGGAAAAGTTCAAAATGATGAAAAGATAAGAATTAGTATCCTTTAAACAAAAAACACACAACTTGAAACGTAGAAATTCTACTGCTGTGCTTTTTACTCGGTGAATAGACTCTCTACTGTGCCATAGTTCGTTATCTACTGTCCTACAGTTAAGAGACACTGCTCGCGTATAGTGGAGTCACTATGTGAGTGATGTTGAAGTAAGGTGAAGGATATTGGGCAATAACTTGTCTAGGTTATTCGACTGATTAGATTGCGAAACTTCATCGACTGAGATGGCTTGGATAAGTGATGTGCATACCAAGCCACTGCTTGGTTAGCTTGGATCATGTTGGAAGAGGGAGGGTTCAGGGTGACCAGATCAGACCAGACCAGACCAAGATGTGTCACCAATCGATGAAGTGTCTTACTGTTGACCTAAGCCATGTGGGAAGATGCAAACTACCTGCTTGCAGTCGCTGGGACGATAAGATTAGTTGGTTGAGGACTCTTGGTGATGATATGGCTAAAAATCGATCACAATGATCCAGATGTATTCACTCCTTGACTTTGAATACTTGCACAAACCTTCTTCAGCACAACTTTGGTTTCACTCCTTTTCGATCCACTTCTTCACTGTAGAGTATGAAAAGGCGAAGTGATCGACTTGTCTGTGCCACGTCGTATGTTCATGTTATTTGTCTGTATTTGACATGACCAAAATGGCTTGCAGTCTAGGCTAATATGCTTGCCTAGTAATACAACTACGATATGGTTACTGTACTCCCAACAGTGGTTAAACCCAATACCTAGCACTTCAAACACCAAAGAGTTATCCCCTAGGCCATTGGAGTAAAGGTGTATCCACCTGAAGACTGGCTTTTCAAAAGGATGGAACGCGTGTTGTAGATTTCACTGCTTCTCATCAAGACTATCCCACGAGTATTATGGTATCCACGTAGGAGTCCATTTGCCAACAGCTGTCGATCAATTGATCCCTGTTTACCGACCGGAAATTGAAAGTATCACTACAACTATCGATAGCCTTTGCAGAAGAAGTAGCTACCATCCTCCAGTGGCTTAGTGGATAATGAACGCTTTGGCGTTTGAAGCGAAGGATTCTGCCTTCGAGGAGGGTGTACCCAGTTGACAAGTCCCAGATAGGAAGAAACGCCCATCCTATATTTCTTTGCTAGTCAGCAAAATGAATATATCACCATGAATACTCAGTAGTATCCGCATAACAGTTCCCACCTAATTCAACTCAGTATTACAACGTAGAGTTACAAGTATCGATCAACAATTATTACAGCTCACGTCAAAATCGAGATGAAATCCATTAAACAGCCTTGTGCAGCGAGTAATGAGTTACACGCTTATTGTGTGACGGTTAATGATACTGCTTAACCACGCGTTAGGTGGAGTTGGGTTCGGACCCGTGACCCATTAGTTGTAAGTCAACTACTTTTCTCTCTCTCTCTCTCTGAACCAGTGAGACAACAACTTCAAATATTGTGCTGAATAATTTAGTGAATGTCTGTTAGTTACGTAACATCTAAATTGAGAGAAAGGATTGGGTTCGATTCCTGTTATCCCTGTAGTTCTCCAATACTACTTCTTTATGTTAATCTGTTTGGGGATAAATGAAACACTGAAAATTTCTAATTTACACATTTAAACACCATTTAACAAAAAAATTGTAACTAACTTGTGCACAGACATTAGACATGGTGTAACATCAGAATACAAGATAACTTCAATTTGTGCAGCGGCTGCTGCTGATGTAACAATCGATGGTATTGTAGTCAATGGTGAATTACTTGATTCAAGAGGTGTATTTTTTATTCGATCTGTTCTAGAATTAGACGTTTTACTACCAGATTTATTAGTTTCATCAGTCAATGAATATTGTACAACTTGAACATCATCAATAATTTCAGATAGATAGTACTCTAAACTTTTGATTAATCCAGGTCGTTGAACAGACTCTTTGCTATTGATTCTATGCGCTGATGGAACTGGTACTCTCTGATAATGATCATAAGCTGATGTTATCCATTTTGATGTTAAATATTGAGCACTACGTGGATATTTGGTTATCAGGTCTAACAGTGAACTTGTAATGACTTCAGAAGACCACTAGGTAAAAAAAAATTTTGGGAAAAAATAAAACATACACACACATACGCACAAGTGAATTACATACGATAGGATAAGAAATGAATTAACACATAGTATACACTGAGAAGACTACTCGAGGATATCATGAGCCAGACCAGATCGATGAGTGGAACCCAGATGGAAAACAGCGAGTTAGACATCCGAGGCGAGGGTGACATGAAAGAGATGGTGTGAGGAAGAAATGAAAGCTTCTAAGCAGTCGTGGAGCCAGGTTTAAAGGATTGCATAGAACAGAATGGAATGGAGACATGATATCGAAAGATTCATCTCTCACCAACTTGGCTTTCCTTTCAATAAGAAACGTTCTATCACCAGTCATCCATTTGCAGTGTCCCCCTTCAAAGAAGTGTACACTAGTAAACACATGTGTATTCCCAACTCTCTTTTAGCCATGCAAATCATTATTCATTTGATTGCCAACATCTTTATTGAGGTATGATAAAGTTTTAACAAGAATCTAAGACGTACACTTCGGTTTGCCCGCCTACCTTCAATCGATGAAGTTGTTTATTACACTATATGAATGCTGCACAAAGTACTGTCTCTCTAATGATAATAGACGGTGGGGTAGTAGAAAAATCTATGATATGTATTACATTGTATTTGGAATTCATCAAACCAAACCAACAGTCAGCAGCAGAAGCATTGATGTGGCGTAGACTGTGCAGAATACATTACGCTATGTTCCTTAGAACGTATTCATCACCTTGTACTTCAGAAAGTAATCCAAGAATCTTATCGGTAGGTTTGATGGTTTCTGTAGGTAACTATAGGCTAAGCCATAGCAACTGTGTTGAATGATCGATTGTTCAGAGATATGGGAACGTATTGTGTGAAATTCGAGTGGCGCACGATATCTGGACATGTCATCATAACCAATTAAGCAGGCGAGGAATGATAGGCAAAACAACTAAAACAACGAATAACCTACCATTAAATTTGCTGTTGGATAAAAGCAAATTACCACCAGCATTAGTCAGCGGTTCACTTAGTCTAAAACCTCCTGGAATATTTACCTACTTCTATGACAATGAATTGACTATCAAAGTCGAACAATAGTCGCACTAAAGGTCAACCCGAAAAAGAATACAATATTGAATTGTTTCAAAGGAGGAGCTATCAGAGATGACTAATTGACAAATTCAACATAAAACCTCGTACACAGATTGCATCACATCAAGTTGCTACACTATTTCGTAGTAGAATATAGCTAACAACTGGATGGAAAAAAACTGATGAAGGTTAGTGTGACCGGTTTTTAGCTATGTCACCTACAATCCTTAATCACTGACATCACGGATTGATACCACATCTTGATCTGGCAACCTTGAACCATGTTCCAACCTAATGCAACTGCTACTCTCCTGGAACGTAGGTGTGGACAGTAGGTGTGCATATCTAGTATCTTTTAAACTGTTCTTTTTTCCAGTCTTTTATTTGCACGTGGGCCACCTTTCATATAACCCGCTAGCATTCTGATTGCTATATGCTTTTTTTTAATGTATAAATTATTCCACACCTTTCAAGGTGACTCACGTTGATACTGTCTATGTAGAATTGCTTGCATTTGGTGAAATCACCATCCGAGCAATGTTCAGGTTAGACGAATATTACTAGACAAAATAGGCAGGTTGATTGTGATGGTTTAGACATGTACTGCGCATACCAAGCCACCTCCTACCTCAATGTGCTATATGCTAAGGGGAAGTTGGATTGAATTGGATGATGATGGCTCAAAATGACTAAACAAAGACGTGGTACTTAGCCAGTGAAATGGCTGACTGTTGATCTGAGGCGTGTAGGAGAGATGAAAACTATCTCGTTTGGGTCACCAAGACAATAAGATCAGTGGTTGAAGACTCTTGGTGACATGGTTGAATATTAATCGCTCATTATACCAAAGATGTATTCACTTCTCCATGTCTTCTACAGCCTGAATATTCACACTAACCGTTTATTCTTTACTGTATATAGTACAACTTTATCTCCATTGTATATCAGTCTCTTTTTCTATCCACCTGTTCTTTATGTACTACTACTATGAAGTGTGGTAACCTGCAGTGATGAATTTGTGTGTACCACCTTCTAGATAGATTTCGTCCGTCTGTTTGACACTGACAATAGAGTTACTCCAATCCAACTTGTACATAATTATTATTATTATTATGTTCCTAATGGAACATAGCACGTCTCCAGTGCACTCTATTCTCTGTAATTTTTTCAACCTGATTCCACGACTCCCCACAAACTCTCATTTCTTCCTCGTACGATCTCCTTTATGTTATCCTCGGACGCCCAAGTCGTCGCTTCCCATCTGGCTTCCACTCGAGGGGGGCTAGCACGTGATATCCTCAGGCCCTTACACATAACACTATCAATCAAATCAAATAATACACATACATACATGTGATGCTACTATTGGTGAATTGTACATTATTGATTGAGATGAATTCATATCATATATAACACGTAGTAATGCCTCCAATATCACATGAGTATTTCGAGCTAATAACAGGGGATTAACACTACCACGATGATGATTAATTGTATAAGAATTGGTAATAGGTGAAATATTTTCCCCAAACGAATTGATTGGTATACCACCATCTATTGATGTTTGTCTCCATTGATTTGCTATTTGAACTGATGGCCAATTGGATAAAGTAAGACTAGTTAACCTATGAATAGAAAATCTTTCATGCTCCCAAGATAATAATTCTTGATTTAAGTTGATCTTTTTATGTATCAATTGAACAGAATTCGATTGATTATTATCCAATAGTTTAACGTTGAATAACTAAAATTCCAATGAAAGAAAAACCCGAACTCTGTATTAACATGCATCAGTTATATGATAAAGGAAAACACAATAAATGCAAGTGAAATGAACTAGCAATCACTGGGGTTTCTGACCCAGTGGTGTTCTAACAACTGACCTAAGAGGTCCGACTGCTGCTCAGTCACGACTTCTCATCCCAATCGAAATAGAACTGAATCGGAGAGGTGGTGATGATTGAAGGTGAAATGGAAATCTGAACTGCGGCTGGATTCGAACGAGCAATCACCGGGTTACTGGCCCAGTGCTCTACCAACTGAGTTACGAGGTCCGACTAGTGACAAGATCTATTTTGCTTCACATTAATCTTCAAGGGTTGTATCACCCGCCTATCATGTGAATTTATGACGCGTTACTACAGCATCATCATCAGTTGATATTCATGATGATGATGATGATGATGTAGCAACGCGTCATAAATTCACATGACAGGCGGGTGATACAACCCTTGAAGATTAGAGTGAAATAAAATAGATCTCGTAACTCAGTTGGTACAGCACTGGGCCGGTAACCCGGTGATTGCTCGTTCGAATCCGGCCGCGGTCCACATTCTCATCTCACCTTCAATCATCAACCACTACACATACTCGTCTGTCAAATGATCACTGCCATGTTACATAATAAAAATAACAATCAAAATGATGCTCCTCCACCTCTCCGATTCAGTTCTATTTCGATTGGGATGAGAAGTGCTGACCAGGCAGCCAGTGTGAATACGATGAAGCGATAGTAACGAGTCACAAATTCACATGTTTGTCAGGTGATACAACCCTTGGTGATTGAAGTGAAATAAAATAGATCTGGTCACCAGTCGGACCTCGTAACTCAGTTGGTAGAGCATCAGGCCGGTAACCCGATGGTTTCTAGTTCACCTTCAATTATTGAAACGTTTATCGTTACTACAGGTTGATAGTCAAAATAAAAAGTTGATAATTATTTCACCAGGTTAATTAGTTATGAAATACCATGTACTGAATCAATATGGTTTTATTTTCACAGTGCCTACAAAGCGTGAAACAACAAAAAAAAAACATAACAGCGAATAGAAATAGACTACAAAAATCACACCCGAGAAGTCTTATGGCAGTGTCTGTCACTGAAAGGCGTGCCTAGTAAGTACATCACCTTATTGAAAGCTCTCTACTCGAACACTTGTGGGCATGTTAGAGCCTATGGTGAGTTGTCCAGGGAGCTATACTCATCAAGTGGTGTCCGTCAAGGATGCCCACTATCCCCATTCTTATTTAATTTTATCATAGATATTCTTATGGAGGTTTCCCTCTCGTCACCTAATTACAAAGACGTTGACCGGATCACAGGTGAATTTTCCTTAGATCTAGAATATGCAGATGACATAGTCCTGTTAGGTGAAGACGCTGACAAGATGCAGAGTCTTCTGAACACTTTGAGTGGGAATTTGAGAATGTTTGGGATGCGATTTTCACCACCCAAATGCAAATTTTTGCTCCAGGACTGGTCTTCAGCGGTACCGCGGTTAACAATAGAGAGTGAAGTGGTTGAGTGTGTTGACCACTTCACTTAGCTGGGAAGTAGGATCAGCCCTGGTGGGTCAGTTGCCGATGAGATTTCTGCACGGATACAAAAGGCTCGATTGGCTTTTGCCAATTTGCGCCACCTATGGCGCCGCCGTGATATTCGTTTGTCTATTAAGGGTCGCGTGTACTGCACAGCAGTCCGCTCTGTTCTACTGTATGGCTGTGAAACATGGCCATTGAAAGTGGAAGACATGAGAAGGTTACAGGTATTTGACCACCGTTGCCTTCGTAGTATAGGACGTATTCCGTGGTGTCACCATGTGAGTAATGCAGAAGTTAGGTGTAGAGTTTTAGGGAGAAGAGGTAAGTCAGTCGACGAGGTTGTGAACCTTCATCGACTGAGATGGTTGGGACACGTACTACGTATGCCTAGTCACCGATTGCCTCGTCACACAATGTTGGCTGAGGTGGGTTCAGGCTGGAAAAAGGCCCGAGGTGGCCAGACTAAAACATGGCACCAATGTATGAAGTCTCTGACTGTTGGTTTAAGCCATGTAGGACGATGCAGACTAGGTGGTTGGGGTCCACGGGACAAGAGGAACCAGTGGTTGGAGACCCTAGGTGATATGGCTCAGAACCGAAGTCAGTGGCGCAGATGTATACACACATTATCCTCATCTTAACAACGCTATACCGAATCTCACTATTTTGTCACTCCTCTTTCCTTTCTTCTCGTACTTTATATTTCTTTTGACTGCATTCACTTATCTTCATCCTTCACCTCACTACCTTTTTACTTGATGTGCTGATATGAGGTGTGGCAACTCGGACCGTTACGCAGTAATGCCTGGTCCTATGTTGATAATGATGATGATGATGACACCCGATTACATCGCTAGAAACCCAACTAATCTCATGTTGTCCAGTTGTGAGTACTAACTGATCATAGCTGACCAATTTGTAATGTGTGGCCATGATGCTAGAAAGTTCAATGCACTTTTTGATAGACGTTAGTTAGTCACATGGAATCGGTAAGAAGCTATGGACCTAGTGAGACATTCATTCTCTGCTAAATCATTTAGAGTCGTCAACTAACCATTTCAACTCATATAGAAATGAATATTTCAAGTTATATAATAGGATTTTTTAAATTTCGATTTTTACTACATATTGCTGTGTAGTCAAGAAAAACTTTATTGGACAATTTTACCCTACAACTGACCCATCAGAACAAGTTATTACTTCAGACCTTACTTTAGACCTTACAAGTTATTACTTTAGACCTTATTGTTTTATAAGTTCATGTTAATTGTTACATACAAATGACGTATTTTTGTATCCAATAAAGTCATCTTCTATACAAGTACAGACCAGTGCCTTTTATCTACCAAAGTATACGGTTCTAGGAGGGGGGAGGGAGGAAATTTCATCGTCTTTTTATTATCCACGAAGGAAGGAAGAAAGGAATGACTAGTTACCAATGATGGTCACTTCAACGTGCACTCATGAGTTCAATTGCTTCTGTAGAGCTAGTCACATAGGCTATACTCAAATGGCTCTATCTTTGTGCGCTTATGGTTATAGAAACAAATGAAAAAGGGTATCAACAGTGTAGTCCTCTCATATCTGCTAGATACTGGACATCAGATCAAAGTAGATAACGCTTTAATAATCATGGTAACTCTGAGAGTACTGGAGAGTTCAGCTGTTTTATCCTAGTATGAGACTTGAGTTAACAGTGCGTACTCATAGCCTCTCAAAGGGATCGTTTAAGACCCATAACCAGCATATCACCGTCCGGACATTCGGTCGGAATCCAATCATCGACATCTTACTTTTATCAGTTCGTGATATAGTGGAATCTCCATCGAATACCATCGTTGAGTGCCTCTCCTTGGTCCAACCCGCTGAAGTCACAACTTGCCATTAGAACCTCGGAATATCTTATGTTACTAGTGAGCAACAGTTTCAACGTTTGTGAAGAATTATTAGTTTGAAATTAGTAATCACCACGCATTGATATAAACTAGAGAATAAATAGAAACTACTACTGGGTTCATACGTGTTCACTACTGAGGGTCCCACAGGATCTTGATATCTTTTCCACTTCTACAAAGTTCAGTGTGTTGAAGATTGCCTATTGAATTTCTCTGACCGTTACAATAAAACCTCAACATACTCTTTATGCAAGAATATCCCTGAAGGTTAAACTCTAATCTAGCAAAAACTACTTTTTACATTAAATATACTACTACTGAACGACATGAGTAGTAGTTAGAAACTACTCAGTCAGGTTAGAGTGATCTAAACACTGGGCAGCTGTTTCGTTCGTTTGAAACTGAACAGATCATTGATGATAAGTGGATGACTTTAGTTCACTAAACCAAATACGCTCAGAACACTTGAATAACTTAAGTTGTTCAGTAGAATATTTTGACAGCTTATGAAACTTTCATGTCAGAGATCATGTCTAACGACCGCAGCTGACTGACTGAAGGTGATATCCAAAAGTAATCACCTTCCACAATCGGAGGTGGGTAGAGAAGGCAGTTAAAAAAAACTACTCAGAGATAAGAAATGTTGACATGAACAATATAATTACTAAATCATTTATAAATTGATCATCCCACATTCATCTTTGTTCAAAAGGTGAGTGTTTATTACAATCCAATAGGGTGTAATACAATTTACCTCATTTGGAAATGGATGTAATTGATAGGCAGTATGCAAAGCTTTCAGGAAATTATAAGCGAATGAACCTTCTTTCGGAGGTTTAGACACATGTGCATACATAGTCTGACCGAAATTTATAGAACCCAAACCTTCAAGACAAATCACTTGTGCAACAGAATCTAAAAGAGCTTGAATAAACACATAAATAGAAAGAGAGAGGGAGGGAGAAGAAGGAATAAATTCCACAATTAAGTCACCTTCATATATAACGAAACCATAATATTATATATATTCCAACCGAATTTCCAATAAATATATCATCAACTTGAAAAGAGCATAAAGAAACATGGAGGTTTAATAATATTAACAATGTAGTCGCTGGTTCGAATCCGGTCGCGGTCCATATTTTCATCACACCTTCAATCATCACCCAATACCCAGTACAAATACTAGTCTGCCAAACTACGGCTGCTATCTTAGATAGTCAAATGATAATCAATATGATGGTCCCCCTCTGTGATTCAGTTATGTTTGGATTGGGATGAGAAGTCGTGATTGAGAAGTCAGTGTAAAAAAGATCATGCGGTAGTAACGTCTCGCGAATTAACATGGTAGTTGGGTGATATAACCCTTGATGATTAGAGTGAAATAAAATAGATCTCGTAACTCAGTTGGTAGAGCACTGGGCCGGTAACCCGGTGATTGCTCGTTCGAATCTGGCAGCGGTCCACATTCTCATCTCACCTTCAATCATCAACCACTACACATACTCGTCTGTCAAATGATCACTGCCATGTTACATAATAAAAATAACAATCAAAATGATGCTTCTCCACCTCTCCGATTCAGTTCTATTTCGATTGGGATGAGAAGTGCTGACCAGGCAGCCAGTGTGAATACGATGAAGCGATAGTAACGTGTCACAAATTCACATGGTTGTCAGGTGATACAACCCTTGGTGATTGAAGTGAAATAAAATAGATTTGGTGAGCAGCCGGACATCGTAGCTCAGTTAGTAGAGCACCGGACCGGTAACCCCGATGGTCGCTGGTTCAAATCCAGCTATTGTCCAGATTTTCATCTAACCTTCAATCATCACCCAGTACCCAGTGCAAATAATTGTCTGCCAAACTACGGCTATCTTAGCTAGTCAAATCATAAATAATGTAAGATTAAACCTTGTGCACTATGGTAGAGCATAATTTTATAAGATTGTAGAGACTGGTTTTGCGTTAGAATTCATCATGGACTGACTCATCCAAACGGCTTGGTTTCTGTCTAAAATCTCGGCTTGGATACAGAAGTCCCGTTTGGCATCCATTTGGATATCCGACTATTTATCAAAGGACGAATATACTACTCTGTAGTCCATTCTGCATAGTTTAACTACTGTGAGACATATCTGTTAAAAGTACAAGACATGAAGCGGTTAACAGGCTTTGATTACAGATGTTCTCGTAGTATTGTTCGCCTATTAGTGGAATCATAGTGTGAAGAATGTTGATTTCATGTGACGGACACAAGGAAGATAGACAAGATGATTGATGAAGTTGTGAACTTTAGCCGAGTGAGGTGGCTTGGCCATGTACTGTGCATGCTTAACCATCGTTGCCTATCTCGAAATACCATACAACGGGAATTTGGATCACGTTGGAAGAGAGTTCCCAGTGGCCAGACCAAAACACGCTACCAGTCGATGAAGCATCTGACTCCTTGTCCCTTGGGTTCCTAGTGGAACATAGGGCTTCATTAACACGTCTCCATTCCACTCTCTTCTCTGAAGTCTTATGGACCTGCCTCCACAACCTTTCATTTCGTCCTCACACAATCCTCTCCATGTCACCCTACGACGCCCAACTCATCCTTTCCTCTTCCGGTTCCACTCAATAGCCTCGACTGGTGCGTGATGTCCCCAATTCACCTTTTCCGTCTACGCCCAATTCATCTCCACTTTCTCCCTCTGCATATTTGTTGGGCGATGGGTTCTTGGTCCGTTCGTTGCCAGCCAGCCAGCCAGCCAGCCAGCCAGCCAGCCAGCCAGCCAGCCAGCCAGCCAGCCAGCCAGCCAGCCAGCCAGCCAGCCAGCCAGCCAGCCAGCCAGCCAGCCAGCCAGCCAGCCAGCCAGCCAGCCAGCCAGCCAGCCAGCCAGCCAGCCAGCCAGCCAGCCAGCCAGCCAGCCAGTTTGAGTTCCTTGTTGCTTATTCTTTCTGGCCATCTCGTCTTCAGTGTCGAGTGAGTGTATGCGGCAGCTGTTGATGAATATGTGTAGTTTGTTGGAAGTGCTTTTCGTGACACGCCAAGTTCCCGAACCATATATGGCAGCACTGACGTGACTGGATTGGTGTTGAAAATTCGGATCTTATTCTTTGTGCTGAGTGCAATAGATATCCACGTTGATTTAAGATTCATGAAGGCCTGTCTTGCTGTCTTTCCGATCCTGGCTGGTTTTGACATCCTTATCTATGTCGCCACCTGTAGTTGAAACGATGCTGCCTAGGTAGGTAGATGAAAGAGACTACTACCTTTAGGTTTCTCCCGTTCATGGTGATTGATGCTTGTTGTTGATGCTGCTGTTGGTTGAGTATCTTCATGTCAGTAGGTGTAAACTATCTGACTGTGGTCGTCAAGACCACTAGAATCAATACTTGGAGAACTTTCACGTTGTTTATTCTCTCTCTCTCTCACACACACACACACATACACATACACAACTTTGTCTACTCTGATATCATCCCTTTTCTACTCACACATTCCATAAATACAATTGTGAAGTATAACAACACTTTCCAGTTCTGTTCTCATTCTCACTTAACATACATACATGAAAACAAAACTGCATAAAAAGATACACTGATGACAATCAATTCATGCATGTATTACTTACCCAGACCAGAAGAATCTTCAATACTATGATCAAGCCAACGTTTAGAACCGATAAAATTAAATTTTCCACCACCAGTTAACAAGAAAACAATCTGATAACTGAATAAAACATGTAAGCAATAGCATTAACATATCAAATTGTATGACTTATGAAAATGTATGCAAAAATAGAGTAGCTTATTGATGACTAGCTTTAACAGATGATTCCCAAAGTCCCAATCAGAAGTCATAAACAATAAAATTATTCACGTCGAACATGAAGATAGTTACTCAATGACAATATTGGATTCCGCCGACTCAATGGCTAGCTCAATGGTAACGTGGTGGACACAGAAACCGAAGGTTATGGGTTCGATTAATGATGGGGCGAGGTTATGCATATATATCGATAAGAAGTCCCATACTAGGATGAGAAAGTTCGCTTGTCTAGTGCTTTGTCGTCTCCAATGTTCCCCTAACTAATGTCAACCCATGATGAATTCATCATCAATATCAACATAGGACCTGGCATTACTGCGTAACAGTCCAACTTGCCACACCTCATATCACTACATCAAGTAAAAAGGTGGTGAGTCACAAGATGAAGATAAGAGAATGTAGTCGAAAGAAATATAACGTAGGAGAAGAGAGAAAGGAAGAATGAGAAAATGGTGAGATTCCGTATAGCATCGTTAAGATGACGATAATGTGTGTGCGGATACACCTGCACCACTGACATCGGTTCTCAGCCATATCACCCACCTACAGTCTACAACCACTGGTTTCTCTGGTCCTGCAGACCCCAACCGACTAGTATGCATCACCCCATATGGCTCAAACCAACAGTCAAACACTTCATACATTGGTGCCATGTTTCGATCCGACCACCTCGGGCCTTTTTCAGCCTGGACCTACTTCGGCGAAAATTGCCTGGTGTGGCAATCGGTGAGTAGGCATACGTAACACGTGTTCCAAGCAGCCATCTCAGTCGATGAAGATTCATAACCTCGTCAACTGAATTACTCCTAACCCCCAAAACTCTACAGCTGATGTCTGCGTCACTCATGTGGTGACACTATGGAATACGGTCCATACTATGAAGGCAATGGTGGTCAAACACCTGAAGCTGTCTTCTCATGTCTTCCACCTTGAATGGCCATGTTTCACAGTCATACAGTAGAACAAACCGGACTGCTGTGAAGTACACGTCACCTTTTGATAGACAAACGGATATCATAGCGGCGCCATGGGTGTCGTAAATTGGCAAAAGCCAACCGAGCCTTTTGTCTTAGTGCAGAGATTTCATCGGCCACTGAGCTAGCCACCAGGGCTGATCCTACTTTCCAGCTAAGTGAAATGGTCGACACACTCAACCACTTCGCTTTCTATTGTTAGCCATGGCACCGCTGAAGACCAATCCATGATGAATTCTAACCTGAAGACTTGAAAAATAATCAAAGTTACACCATTTTCTAAAATGACACTATGATATGATATTTAAAAAAAGTACGTTGACTGACTGTTATTCAACAAAAACAGTAATAGATAGAAAAAGTGAACGTAGAACCTCACACGCTGGTGAATCGATCCAAGTGACCGCATACTTCACACCACACAATACAAAGAATAAATGGATAGAAAGAGTGATATCAAATTAGATGGAATAAACAATATTCAAACCAGACAGTCTACATCTTCTAGACCTAGACAGATCAACAGTCGCTTACTTATAACATTAGAACCATGTCTTGATCTAGCCACCCTGAACGCACTTCCAACCAAATCAACTCTCCATGTAACATGGCACATTGAGGTAATCAGTGAATCGGTAAGCATACCACATGTTGGAGTTATGCCATCTGTTTATAATCGATTTATCTGTCTCACCTAGTACCCTTCGCTTGACTACAACGTCACTTACACAGTGATTCCTCCACAGGCAAATAGTACTGCGAAAACATCTGTGATAAAAGCTCTGTAACCACTTCATGTCTTGTACTTTTAATGGATATGTCTCATGGCCGTGTAACAAAACAGAATGGATTACATCACGATATACTCATCGTTTGACAGTGAAATATGTCTGTCTATCTGTCTCCCTCTCTCTCTCTGCTTAATTATATTGGACTTCAGTAGTATAATGATTTTATCTCAACCTATTGTGTGATGGTATGTGTTAATGCATATATTGAGATAGCCGAATGTCTTTTTAGATGATTGATCTTATTCGGGTCTGTTATTCTATATTTGACTAAATTCCTACATTCCGCTAATCTAACTGACACTGACCGACTTGTTTGATCTATCCACTTGACCTGACTCACAGTCATTACATGGAATTTGATAGATTAGATTATTTTACTTAATTGGATCTGTTGGATCCTTAAGCCGGTCGGCAAAGCTTATCTCTGAGTGAGTTTATAAGTTCAATTAACTGTCACTCTGATACCAGCTTTGTTAAGGATTCTACGTAAAGCTTCCGATGTTCCTTCCTTATAGGGTAACACAATGGAGGTTGTGAACTCCTTTCTACCTGTGTTGTCGTTATTATTCGTACTCGTGTGACTGTTGTTTCTTCGTCCCTTGTGTATCTGTACGAATTTCTTAATAAACTGTAAAGGATAATTATTAACTATTAGTGCTTCTTTTATGTGCTTCAGTTCCTTGTTTAGGTCATTGGACTGACTAGTCAGTTTTCTAGTTTTGTGATTTAGACATTTGACTAAATCTACCTTCACTGACTGTAACTGCATGAGATGACTTGAAGTCTAGATACCTACCTGTTAGAATGCGTCCGTTTTCTGTCGAAGGTAGTCTTCAAACCACCGTCTGTCCTTATTTTTTCCTGTAATCCACTATAACCAATTCTCCTACTTCATTTTCTACCTCCTCTTAAGTGAATTGAACTGCGCCTACCACTGAGTTGATATTATGTGTGATGAAATTGTCCATATGTTCCTATTACAAGTCAGTAGTGAATGTCTCCCCACATATCGTTACCATTCTACGACTGAATGTTTGTTAAGTCATGTTTTCCCAACTAGCCATAAATATTTCGCCTTAAATTGCAGATAATGGTTATCCCATTGCTACTCCTTACTTTCATCTGCATATTTTCTCCTGAAACTTGAAGACTGTGAAAAGCAGGCATAATTGTACACCTAATATGATTTAATCAGTTGATATCTTAGTTCTATGCGTAAGTTTTAAGTGAGTATTTAGTTGATTCATGACTGCCTCCAGTCCCATATTGATTGATATTTAGTAGAAAGGTTTGTTTTACTTCAAAACTAACCATTTTTTTCATTTTCCTCTTACATGCTGGTCATTAAGTTTTAGATGTAACCCGTAAGAATTTACTGGTCTGGAATATCAGGTCATAGGACTATTAAATCTTCGGCAAGTAAATAATACTGTGTCATTACTGCACGCTATATATCATCATCATCATCATCATCAATATCAACATAGGACCTGGCATTACTGCGTAACAGTTCAACTTGCCACACCTCATATCACTACATCAAGTAAAAAGGTGGTGAGTCATAAGATGAAGATAAGAGAATGTAGTCAAAAGAAATATAACGTAGAGAAGAGAGAAAGGAAGAATGAGAAAATGGTGAGATTCCGTATAGCATCGTTAAGATGACGATAATGTGTGTGCGGATACACCTGCACCACTGACATCGGTTCTCAGCCATATCACCCACCTACAGTCTACAACCACTGGTTTCTCTGGTCCTGCAGACCCCAACCGACTAGTATGCATCACCCCATATGGCTCAAACCAACAGTCAAACACTTCATACATTGGTGCCATGTTTCGATCCGACCACCTCGGGCCTTTTTCCAGCCTGGACCTACTTCGGCAAAAATTGCCTGGTGAGGCAATCGGTGAGTAGGCATACGTAAAACGTGTCACAAGCAGCCATCTCAATCGATGAAGGTTCATAACCTCGTCAACAGATTGACCTCTACTCCCTAAAACTCTATACCTGACTTATACATTACGCTACATATCAAATAAACAAATCCCTGTGTGGGTTGATTAGGGCGTAAACTCTGTCATTCATCTCTGTTCTCATAATACACGTGTTGATGTCTAATTTTATTTAACTTTTACCTGATATTTGCTTATAATTCTAAAATAACTTTATCAGTATTGATTTGTGCCATTGCTAGCTTTTCTTTTTCCCGCTGCCTTGAAGATTGAACTCTCATTGATTGTTGACTCTTTTAATCTATCAGTGAATTCAGTATTTTCAAGGTCGTTTACAAACGTATATATTCAGCATCACCTTTGAAGTGAAGACAGGAGTAAGGTAAGGTTGCCGTCTACTATCACCAATCACCTTCCTGAATGTGGTCGACTGGACTGGACTGGGTCATGCAACAAACTGTGAGAAGATGGGCACACGCTGGCTGGACTGATGAAAAGATCCTAGAAGATTTCGATTTTGCCGATCATGATTTATGTCTAATGTCTTGTGGCATAAACTCGAAGATCTACAGGCAAAAACTAACAAGTTGGCAAAAGAGGCAGGGTAGCGAAGACTGGACTTCCTCCAGGTGAACGTAGAGAAGACATAGATGATGAAGATACCCAACCAACCAATAACAGTCACTATCAACGGGAGAAATCTAAAGGAAGCTTTCTCTTTCACCTACCTAGGAAGCATAGTTTCAACTACAGGCAGCGATGGCGGCGGCACATATGAGGATGTGAAAGCCAGGATCGGAAAAGCAAGACAGGTCTTCATTAATATGTGGAGATCAGTGTGGAGATCTACTGAACTGCAAACTCACTCATCATAAGGAACAAGATCCGGATTCTCAACACCAATATCAAGCTAGTGCTTGGTTGAGAGACTTGGAGCATTACAGAAAGCATTCCAAGAAACTGCAGACAACGAACCAACCAAGAACCTATCGCCTAACAAATATGCAGAAGGAAGTGGAGATGGGACATATATATATATATATATATATATATATATATATATATATGCGTATATGATATAAGATGGTGAGTGAGAGAATCATAGAGGAAGATGTAAGAGTCATGCACAGATAACGACAGCGGTGGTTGGTTTCCTAATAAGAAAAGTGAGATGAATGCTTACATTTTTGAATAAGGGAGCTGATTATTTATAAAACGTTTCAAAGCACTAGATGTTCAGTCCAGTCTATTGTCATTATTTGTGCACAGAAGTGTCGGGTAATTGTCATATGGCATTACCGCTGAGGGCACTGCATTAATTGCGGTGTCAGCATCACTAGATCAGTGATGCACGACAACCACCTTTTATCCAACGGGATACTGTTGTTAACTCTGGTGAAAACTCAAAATATCCTTTAAAATTAAGAAAAGAAACTGTAAGAACTCACACACACACACACACACACCGCAATAATACCGAAAAGCAAAACCGAAGTGGCTTCAACAATACACCAGCATAGGAAGAGAAAATAACAGACACACTTACGGTGATCTATTAGCTTCATCTGCATACAGCCGAGATAGTAGACGAGCCAGTTCCAAGAGAATAACGACACCACTACCATTTGCATCAGCTCCAAACGCTAAACTCTACAAGAAAGAAGAGTAGTGTGTAAAGTTTTATTGTTGTGTGAATACATGTGAGCCATTGTTATCGATTCTGAGATACATCACTTATAGTCTCTAACCACTGGCGGTTTCTGTACATACCGTAACCCGCCAGTCTACATCTCCCAACATGGCTCATCCACTGATGTCATGTCTTAGTCTGACCGCCATTGACCTTCTTTCAGCTTGAATCTACTTCTGCTAACATTGAACAGTAACCCAGATTGTCACATATCCCAGTCACCTCAGTTGATGGAGATTCGCAGTTGAATCAATTAACTTTCCTCTCCTCCACTTCTGACTTGTATGTTACTGACGAGGTGACACCATGACATATGGTCAATGCTACAAAGGTAAGGATGGTGGAAAACCTGAAACCTTCTCATCTTCTCCACAGTTAATGACCACGTTTCACAGCCATATAGTCAAAAGGCGCACACCTATGATCTAAGTTGCTACTCAAGTTTATTGACCTATTTGATGGAGGATCAGAACATGGAAAGCAGCAATGTGTACTTTGGAGTATTGTTCCAAGAGATCAAGAATGCTGTTCCGTGAGCTCAAACTATTAATTTAAATCCGGAAAAAATTAAAGGTGATGTAAGAATGTTGACTGACAGACATGGAGGAAGATTATAAGGTAAGGATGGAAGTTGAATACTAACACTTTGTGCTTGTCTACTCAGTTGAAGGCTAGTTCTTCTCGCGTTAAGTGAAACAGAAGGGTTATTGTGAGATCGTAAAGATCAACTGACATCTGCTTGAGGTCAGTCAGCATCACCATGATATTGGTAGCTACTTAGACCTTCAGACACCTATTATGGAGTAACAATTTTCCCTGCTTTCCATCATACCACTGTCCAACTGACTTTTCTGGAATGGTATGACAATATAAAGAACAAGCATTTGATCAGTACAGCCCGTTGGATCATTAACATATGCAAAACTCAAATACTACATCGTCAAGCTTAGCAGCTACCGAAAGGGACTGAGAAAATAAGTCAGTGTGTATTAGGCTCGGATACTGTAGTTGTTACGGAAGCCTAGTCGCTGTTTTTTTTTCAACACTTTATGTTGTATTAGATGACATCAATTCATGAACTCCTTAACACCTAGTCTGAATGGTACAGAGAAATGTAGGCTCTTGACTGGCGTTTTAAAGATGATCTAAGTCGATGAAAAACTCCAGTGTAACAGTTCAGCCCCGTGCTCTACTAATTGACCTACGACGTTCGACTGCTCACCACATTTTCATTTTACTTTAATCACCAAGGATTGTATCACCCAACTGCTATATGAATTCGCAACACGTTACTACCTCATAATGTTTCTTACACTGGCTGCCCGATCACGACTTCACATCCAAATCCAACTGAATTAGAGGGCAGCTCAGTTGGTAGAGCATCGGGCCGGTTACCACGATAACCTTAATTACTCAAACCGAAGAGAAAAAAGTGCTCAACCAATTACCTCAGCATTCAATTTCTCTCAGGACATTCGTAACAACTACGATCTGGATGTTTACAGGCTTTGTAATGTCTATTCCATAAGCCAAACTCCGCGCCCATCGCTTTTCTTTACTCACAAACAGTTTTTCCAACCCCTCCCCCCCCACAGTTATTAGTAAAACCAACTTCAAAATTCTTTTTATCTTTCAATATAAATTGATTTTTGTCGTTCTTTGACTTTTACATCTCACTTTTTTTCAATTTGATAGTGTAGCGGATGTCGCTGATAAGAATGGATATAAGTAGTATATATGTTGAGATGATTGGCAGAAATCATAGAAAATTACCAGGAATGGGTAAGGATTCCGCCAAAAAAAAGCAAGAGACAATACAGACGTATGAAGAGCAAATCAAGAAAGAAGTAGAAGAGGAAATGAAGCAGGATCGAACTGCTGAGTACTCCCATACTAGTCGGATGAAACAGCTGCCCAGTGCTCCCAGGCTTCCTTTGTTCCTCCAAGTGATATCAGTCTACAATGAATAACAACTCCTTCAAAAGTAGTTTTTTATCATTGTGAACCTTTATCGATTAAAGATGGTTAGAATATGTGATGTTACGTATGCCTATAGCTAACACCTAACTTGTCACACAATGTTAGCTAAAGTATGTTCAAGCTAGGAGAAGGTTGGGGAGAGAAATGTAGACTTCCTGGTTGGCGTTCATGTGACAACAAGATTGTAGGTGACTTTGCTTAGAATCGATCTCTGTAACACGGATATATTTTAACTGTATCGTTATACTAAATTCATCTATCTGATAGTTTTCTCACTTAATATGTTAGGTGTGGTAATTTGGACCATTACACAGTAATGCCTGGTTCTATGTTGATATCGATTATGACAATGTGATACCGCACATAGAGTAGAAAGAAATGACTGGTGTCATTAGGATCAGTCTGAATACACACACACACACACACAACACACACACACACACACACACACACACACACACACACACTCGCTAGACACCTTTTTTAAGGCGAAAATGATACCAATTTCTAATGCAATTTATAAAACAATGTTAATTATGCTCAGTACATAATCGAATTATTTCCATTATGAGGACATAGTTGTGAATAAGATAAGAAGATCTACAATTGATCTAATACGCTGAATGAAGCCATCTCTGAATGAATTACGCCTAAAACTAATGGTCCTAGTTGAATACCACATACCGTCTACCTCTTCATATAATGTTGGCTCAAGTAGGTTCAGGTTGGAAAATGGTGAGGGGTGATCAGACTGAAACATGATATCAATTTATGAAGTCCTTGACTGTTGATGCCTAGTCACCGATTGCCTCGTCACACAATGTTGGCTGAGGTGGGTCCAGGCTGGAAAAAGGCCCGAGGTGGCCAGACTAAAACATGGTACCAATGTATGAAGTCTCTGACTGTTGGTTTAAGCCATGTAGGACGATGCAGACTAGGTGGTTGGGGTCCACGGGACAGGAGGAACCAGTGGTTGGAGACCCTAGGTGATCACATGGCTCAGAACCCATGTCAGTGGCGCAGATGTATACACACATTATCCTCATCTTAACAACGCTACACCGAATCTCACCATCTTGTCACCCCTCTTTCCTTTCTTCTCGTACTTTATATTTCTTTTGACTGCATTCACTTATCTTCATCCTTCGCCTCACTACCTTTTTACTTGATGTGCTGATATGAGGTGTGGCAACTCGGACCGTTACGCAGTAATGCCAGGTCCTATGTTGATAATGATGATGATGACTGTTGATTTGAGCCATGTAGGGCAATGCAAACTAGTCAGTTGGGGTCCGCAAAACAAGAGAAACTATTAGTGATTAGACACTCAAAATCGATGTCAGTAGAGCAGATGTATCGATAAACATCATCCTCATCTTAACCGTTATACTTAATCTCATTATTTTCTCATTCCTCCTTCCTTTCTTTTTACTACTTACTACTTCTACTTTATTTCACCGATTTTTCTTTCATTTCATTGTCTTATTACTTGATATACTGATATGACGATGAGGTGTGGCAACGTGGACCGTTACACAGTATTCCCTGGTCATATGTTGATCTTGATAATGATGATGACAATTAAGGTTCATAAAAAAAAGATTACCCTATTAGGTTATTAGTTGACCTTAAAAAGGCCCGGCTGGCTTTCACCAACTCACGCCACCTATGGCACCGCCGTCTATTAAGGGTCACGTGTAGTGCACAGCAGTCCACTCTGTTCTACTGTATGGCTCTGAAACATGGCCATTCAAGGTGAAAGACATGAGAAGACAGCTTCAGGTGTTTGACCACCATTGCCTTCATAGTATGGACCGTATTCCATAGTGTCACCACATGAGTGACGCAGACGTCAGCTGTAGAGTTTTGGGGATTAGGGGTAATTCAACTGACGAGGTTATGAATCTTCATCGACTGAGATGGCTGCTTGTGACACGTGTTACGTATGCCTACTCACCGATTGCCTCATCAGGCAATTTTCGCCGAAGTAGGTCCAGGCTGGAAAAAGGCCCGAGGTGGTCGGATCGAAACATGGCACCAATGTATGAAGTGTTTGACTGTTGGTTTGAGCCATATGGGGTGATGCATACTAGTCGGTTGGGGTCTGCAGGACCAGAGAAACCAGTGGTTGTAGACTGTAGGTGGGTGATATGGCTGAGAACCGATGTCAGTGGTGCAGGTGTATCCGCACACACATTATCGTCATCTTAACGATGCTATACGGAATCTCACCATTTTCTCATTCTTCCTTTCTCTCTTCTCCTACGTTATATTTCTTTCGACTGCATTCTCTTATCTTCATCTTGTGACTCACTACCTTTTTACCTGATGCACTGATATGAGGTGTGGCAAGTTGGACTGTTACGCAGTAATGCCAGGTCCTATGTTGATATTGATGATGACCTTAGAAATATACCAACACTTGAGTCATGTAAATATTTAGCGGGAAAAGATGAGGGGTGATCAGACTGAAACATGGCATCAATTCATGAAGTCGTTGACTGTTGGCTTTAGCCATGTAGGGTGATGCAGACTAGTCGGTTGGGGTACGTGGGACAAGAGAAACCAATGGTTGGAGACTGACTCTAGATGATGACATGGCTTAGAACCAATGTCATTGTCGCATATGTATCTAGGTTCATTAATCCAATTGAATTGAACAAGTTTGACACAAATATACCAAAATTAATATGATATTTCAGGTAGTCAGAAATGAACTCACAACTGACCATGAAAAGTCAGTACTAGAACCAAGTGTTTCAATTGAAGAAAGTATACCTGGAATAAGATTATGTTTCTAAATTTGAAGACAAAACATATATAAACAAAGAGAGAAGAAGTAGAGATGGGATCTCTAATATCTTTCGATCGTAACAGACATATTTATAGATACACTTCAGAGCAAAAGGGTATTAGGAGGATTGCAATCCACTCGAAAAGTATGACAATGATATGTAGAATGCATTCAGAGCTTTTTCATACATACACCTTAACTTGATAGTAGATGTAATCCAAATCATTTAAAAACTAGAAAATGATGAAAGAGAATTATCACCAAGGTTGAATTTTAACGCTAAGAGAAGATAGCTTAGATATACCAGTGTTTATAGGAGATCAACACATTAGTATAGACACTTGGATTCTATATGATCTCACTATTCTATATCGATTAAGACAGTCGGGCTAGAAGTTTGACTAGTAAGTCAGAAAACACACAACGAAAGGAACAACTTCCTGATAACTACCGTACAGATTTTATTACAAAGTTTATAAGGGTAATAAGGGTAATATTATTCGTGCTTGTAAACTGGTAAGTGGGAATTCAAATCATCTGTAGTATTGCTGTATAAACAAGGCACATTAAAAATTTTATCTAGATTTTACATTGACAATAATAGATGCCTTGAAACCAGCAAATCTATTCAACGAAAAAACTTTGTGGGCTTAAATATTTACCGAAACATACAATGATAGACCATGGTAAGATAAGAAAATTAGAAAAAAACTCCACTTTCGCTCTTCATGGACTGACTTATAACTATACCATACCATGGGATAAACTTAAATGCAACAAGAGGCTGATGACAGAATTTAGGGTCATAGAATCAACATGGAATTAACCAAGGAAGTATCCGAAGATCCAGTACCTAGCTCTCATGTACCCACTACTGTACAGCGGAAAGTGCACTCCTCGACCAAATTACAGTCAACAGTCGTCCACATGCTGTTCGACTAAATCAATCTGGAAGAATTAACAAGGATTGTTAGACCAAAGTGGTACATATTTATAATCTACGACTATACACCAAACAACTCCAGTTCACATGATGCAAACGATCAACTCTATAAAAGGCTATCAACTTTCACACTAATAGAAAAACATCCACATACAGTCATAATCACACATGACTTTAACGCTCAAGTAAGCAAGCTCACACAATCCGAAAGGCATATCTTCACAGTATTTATCGAATCCCATGTCAACTAACTAACAACGGTGATCGTCTCCTCCAATTTTGTTCTCACAATCACTTCTTTCTGACTAGCACCAACTTTAAGCATAAGGAGAGACACTGTCTTACATGGTGTCCACCGACGTCAAACCAATAATGGACACATATATATCACATTCCTATAAGCCATCGTTGAAGAGGATTGCCGCTCTTTTTAGAGTGCCATTCTGGATCCAGATAACGCACTGGTATGGTCGCTTGTGACTGAGCACACCTGACTTCAAAAGAATTGACCTACTCCCTGGAGGTCATCTGATTGACTTGGAGTATGCAGACGATATTGTCCTGGTGGATAAAGACGCTGACAAAATATATGGTCTTCGGGATACGTTGAACAGAAATCTGAGTATGCTTGGCATGAGTTTCGGTGGCACCTGTCAATTGTAAGATGATCCTCTAGGACTGGCGTGCAACAAGAGGTGAAGTTGTGAAATGTGTCGGCCACTTCACTCATTTAGGGAATTGTATCAGCCCGAACCAACTGGCTGCTGGAGAAATGTTTGCTCGCTTACACAATACCGTTTGGAGTTTGCCAACTTGTGTCATCTGTAGTGCTGACTGGTGAGATATACAACTATCTGTCAAAAGAACGAGTATACTGTGCTGCAATTCATTCTGTGAGACATGGTCGTTGAAAACTGAAGATATGAAGCGGTTACAGCATTTAGATCAAGAGGTGCCTTTGAAGCACTACTTGCGTTTGGTGGGATCACTGTAAGAGAAATGTTGAGATCGGAAAAAGGGTACTAAGCAAGACAGGCAAGTCGGTTGATGACCTTGTGATATGTACTGTGTATGCCAAGCCACCGCCTACCCTAATGTTCCATGCTAGAAAGAAACGAATGAGGTTGGAAGAAGTCTCATGGTCGCCAAACTAGGATATAGTCTTAGTGCATGAAGACCTTGACTACTGTGTTTCAGAAGTGTAGTGGAGCGGGGTGTAGACTACCTTTCTGGAGTTTTTAATACATATTATTTACTTTTATCAATGATAAGAAACTCACAGGAATAGCAGATATCGCATCATAATGAGCACATATAATAATAGTAGATTTAGCATTTTCTTTACCAAGTCGACCCTAAAGAGATGAATTTTAATGAAATAGATCTCACCTCTATATTCAATACATAATTATCTGTTAATGGCTTTGGTGTTGGTGATCCAGCCAACAAACGATAACCAGTTGAAGAGATCGATTGAGTTATCGCTGAAAAATAACAAAAATAGTATTGATGTTATAATTTACCAGATATTCCTGAAGTTTGTGTACTAGATTTAGTAAGTTGGTTAATTTGATTAAAAACCTCTTGAATTTCAGAATTATTCATAGTGAAGTAGACAGGGATGTGAAATTCATCTGTCAACAATTCTTTTTCTATATGGATAAAATGCTGAGAAAATATTGAATAAATAGTGTTACATTTATCAATGATTGTGTCCATGAATATAATGATGATGGTAAAATAATTACAATCCCAGGAATTTTATGAAAAATTGCATCTTTTAAAATATTCACCGTCATATCTGCTAGTTGTAAGAGAAGACAATTTCGATTAATTAGCCTATTGGTGTATGTTTGAGCTTCACAATTCAGTGAAGATAATTGACTACCTACAAAAGTTAGATTAAGCATTAGAATATTGGAATATTGAACTCACCTATATGAACACCTTGAAAATCATATTGTTGTGCACGATAAACTGTGAATTCTTGTACAGCGTTCACAGAAAATATTGGCGACAAAACAATCACTGTCGATAATATAATACACAAGTATTGAGGAATATAACTTCCTAAACTTAATGTGATATCATATATATCCTTGGAAAGCATGTTAAGTTGTTCTTGGAGAATAAACACTTTAATGGAAAATATTAGTACAAATTTGACGACAGAAAACAATCTGAAAGTAAATAATACAACAAACAAAAAAAGAGAGAAGAATTAGATAATGCTGACTGGTGAGATATCTATCTATCAAAGGAAGAGTATACTAAGCTGCAGTTCATGCTGCTCTCTTATACGGGTGTTAGACGTGGCTGTTGAAAGCAAACGATACAAGCAGAAAAATACAAGAGGTGCAGTAACTGTAAACCATCGATGGGCGCTTGATAAGACTAGCTGACGTGTTAGCTGGTGCATAGGAATTAATTATTTATTTTCTCTTGGTTTCCTAGTGGAACATAGGGCTTCATTAACACGTCTCCATTCCACTCTCTTCTCTGAAGTCTTATGGACCTGCCTCCACAACCTTTCATTTCGTCCTCACACAATCCTCTCCATGTCACCCTCCGACGCCCAACTCATCCTTTCCTCTTCCGGTTCCACTCAATAGCCTCGACTGGTGCGTGATGTCCCCAATTCACCTTTTCCGTCTACGCCCAATTCATCTCCACTTTCTCCCTCTGCATATTTGTTGGGCGATGGGTTCTTGGTCCGTTCGTTGCCAGCCAGCCAGCCAGCCAGCCAGCCAGCCAGTTTGAGTTCCTTGTTGCTTATTCTTTCTGGCCATCTCGTCTTCAGTGTCGAGTGAGTGTATGCGGCAGCTGTTGATGAATGTGCGTAGTTTGTTGGAAGTGCTTTTCGTGACACGCCAAGTTTCTGAACCACATGGTTAGTTAGTTTTCGCCTATAGATCGAGTTTGTGCCACAAGGCACTAGACATAAATCATCATCGGCGAAATTCATATCTTCTAGGCTCTTTTCATCGATCCAGCCAGTGTATGCCAATCTTTTCGCTCGTCACGATTTGCTGCATAATCCAGTCGACCACAAGGAGGAAGATGATCGGTGATAGTAGGTACCCTTGGCTTACTCGTGTCTTCACTTCAAAGGAGTCACTGAGCTTTCTATTGTGGATCACTTGGCACGTGATGTTGTCTTATAGCTGCTGAATGACGTTGATAAAGAGTTGTGGCACTCCATAGTGTTGAAGCAACTGCCAAATTACTTCTCGGTCGACGATGTCGAAGGCCTTTCAAAGTCGATTAAGCTGAGGCTTGCATAGTTTAGAATATATGAATTAAGGATATACAGACTGCCAATAATGAAGTAAAAATGACGATTACGCAAATTAAGAATCCAATTTCTTACATAAAACAATAATATCTTGAAATTAAGCTGGCGAACTGCAACACTGTATCTACTCTTTGCTCACTGAAACAAGGTATTCAACGTCTTACAAACCTTCGAAACCGCTAGAATCCGCATTGTATATGCTTTAAATCAGCACTCTACTAAGGTTTATACTTGGATATGATGAATTGGTAAGCACTAAATGACTAGTTTGCTTTACTGTATTGATGTTATTCATCATCAATATCAACATAGGATCAGACATTAATGTGTAACAGTACAAGTTGCAACACCTCTCATATCACCACAAAATACGAAGAAATATCGGTCAAAAGCAGCAGAAAGAAAGGAAAACGTTGAATTCTATATGACGGTTAAGATGAAGATATAGTGTGGATGCATATATTTGAACTAGATCACCACCTAGAGTCTCCAACCACTTGTTGCTGTTATCACATGGATCCCAACCTGTTAGTTTAAATCTCTCTACACTGTTTAGACCAACAGCCAAGGACTTCATGGAGTGATGCGGTGTCTGTTTGACCGCTTTTTTTTCCAGCCTGTTCGGGCAATAGTTGATACCTTGATGAGATGGTCTGGATTGCACATCACCATGACCCAACAATCAACACTGGCTGTTCTCTCAAGGTTCTATCATCCCAAAAGGTCTCTTAGATATTGGTAAGACGAAAAGTAGTTATCTTTGTAGTGTAAATTGCCACACTATGATGAAGGTCCGAAGGCGAAGCAATACTGCTGGCTAGATAAGGTGTGACCAGCAGTATCACGCTGATGCTGACTTACCGATGGCAAATGGGGCTTTATAAAAAAAATAACACACTCCTCCCTGATTCACGGTATTTCGATGTCAGCGGTATGGATTTTTACTGTTCAGCGTTAGAACAAACAAATCTGAAAACAACAATCCAACAATTCCATGGGCTCTGCTATCATACAAGTCTTTTCGACTTCAGATGTCCTAAGAAGAAATAGCCTTTCACAGTGCGGATAGCCAGGAAGTGTTACCGCTTGCATGCTCCCAATAGTACACAAGACCCAATTAAACATAAACCATTCTCCTCAACTCTATCTCCTCTTTTGCCTTCAACTACTGATACTAATAGTAAGCTTCTAACACTTTCTCCAACCTCTCACTCTGCAACCATTGTCAACATCCAAAGCTATCGAAAACTCATTCCTGGTCTCCTAAAACCCAACCACCGATTTCATACTGCAGCTTTCAACGTCTAAACTCGAAGCGCCGCTCGACCCGAGTGTGGTTATTAAATTGACGCCATCTGACCAGTGAGATGAAGCTACAACATTCACCCTACAAGTATTTGGAGACTCGGTGGCTAGCTCTCATGCACCCACTACTGTACAGCGGAAAGTGCACTCCTCGACCAAATTACAGTCAACAGTCGTCCACATGCTGTTCGACTAAATCAATCTGGAAGAATTAACAAGGATTGTTAGACCAAAGTGGTACATATTTATAATCTACGACTATACACCAACCAACTCCAGTTCACATGATGCAAACGATCAATTCTATAAAAGGCTATCAACTTTCACACTAATAGAAAAACATCCACATACAGTCATAATCACACATGACTTTAACGCTCAAGTAAGCAAGCTCACACAATCCGAAAGGCATATCTTCACAGTATTTATCGAATCCCATGTCAACCAACTAACAACGGTGATCGTCTCCTCCAATTTTGTTCTCACAATCACTTCTTTCTGACTAGCACCAACTTTAAGCATAAGGAGAGACACTGTCTCACATGGTGTCCACCGACGTCAAACCAGTGATGGACACATATATATCACATTCCTATAAGCCATCGTTGGAGATCGGTGGAAAATTGCTGCCCTGTATGGAGTAGCTTTTCGGACTCCAACCACGCGCCAGTACGACCTTCTGCACGGTATAGGCAACAGTAAAGTCTGTCTGTGCTCTGCTGGAAGATGAGGACTCCAAGCACGCATTCCAGGGGGTTGACAAACATGACAGCAATGCTCATCTTGAGGAATCCTGGCGTGATATTAAGTCTGCTATAGAAAGAGGTTCAGAAACGTGGTAAACTACACTCGAAGGTTAGCAAACGTCATTGGATTTCTGCAACGTCATTCGAACTGACTGATGCGAGAAGATTGATTCCAGCTAGTTCTGGTCACAATGAAGAATGAAAGCAACTTACACGTAAATTGACCAAGAGTTGTCGCAATGATTTGAGCAACAGTGGGTTACAAAAGTCAGAAAGATGGAGAAACCATCAGTGTTAGGTAAAACCCAGCAACTATTTAGGGTCACTACGCATACCGGCAAGAAGAAAACGATGGTTAGTGAAACTATCACCGGAAAAAGGATGGTACGCTGATAACGCCACAGGACAGGCGGCTACTACGTTGGGCAGAACACTTTGAAGCACAGTTTAAGCGGCTCACAGCAACGCTTCAGTTGCCCAACACCCAACACCTGAATAGTAACGTAGATGTCAATCGTCCAACTCTCCTTGGAGTAGAGTAGGATCTCGAACGAGAAAAGGTATTGAATAGCTGGACCTTAAAAATTGCGCACCCGACGTTTTCAAAAATGTAAGTACGAAAGGGCTAATTAAAGTGATGGAGTTACTAGGTAGTGAAGGGAATCAGAGGTGATGCCGTCAGATTGGTCTACTTCTCTGATCATTTCAGAGCGAGAGAAATCTTCCTGTGATAACTATAGGGGAGTCAGTTTAACTATTATTGTGTCCAAGATCCTGAGGTTCATAGTTATCCAACGCCTAACTGGAGCTCGAGAACAGAAAAATCGAGAAAACCAGGTAGGTTTCAGACAGAGGTAGAGAACGGTGCATCGACCATATTTTTACTCTTCTACAGGTCCTCGAGCACGGGCATAATTACCAGGCAACCTCAGACACTTGCAATATTTTTCGACTTGAAGGTAGCATTCTACTTGGTCAACCGTGAAGTGTTTTGGCAGTCTGACTGTGAAGGGAGTGTCAAGAGAGCATATAATCTTCATCAAAGCTCCACGCAAAGTCACGCAACCGTGTAAGAGCTTAAGGAGAGTTGTTATTGGAATTGACGATGTCCACAACCTCCCCTGGTTAACTAGTTTACTAGCCGGTCCTATGCCCGGATAAACAGGGAAGGTTGGGATTAGGGCTAGCAACCCTACCCCCGAAAACCAATTCAATCACTAAAGAAAATACAAAAAATGAAAACAAACCTATTCCTCGCTGGAATCAGAGAGACGAAATGACGCCAGTTGGTAAAAGCCTTCGAGAAGCCAATTGGTCGATGTGTCTCCTCTCGACGAAAGCGAAAGTAAGAATGGGAACATGGAATGTCTGTATGAACCTAGCAAGGCTGCCCAGAGTGCAAAAGAGATGCGAAAGTATAGCATTGAAGTGCTAAGAATCTGCGAAAGCAGGTGGAATGGAAGTGGATCCTCCATACCGTCAACTGGAGAGTCAACAGTCTACTCCGATATTGTCGTCCAGACAACAACCACGAGCACAATGAGTTTTGGAGTGCCTATCATGATGTCCCAAAGAGTATCGAAGGCTCTCATGAAGTGGGAGCCAATCTCCTCCAGGATCAGCATCATGACAGCAAGACTCAACTCAAAAGGAAGGAAAGTTACAATCACACAATGTTACGCTATGCATCTACAGTTAATGCAGATCAAGAGAAGGAGAAATTTTATAGACAACTGAAGTTAGTAATGGGCAAGATCCCAGTTG